GAACAGTAGCTACCTGATCACACATCACGGCAACTGTATCTCTCTGCTAAAGGAACAACCCCAGGAGCAAGCCCAGCTGACCCAATTTCTGAGCCTGCAGTCAGTGCATGGTCCTCAGCAGTTGCCTGCTTAAAACCACCAAGTCCCTCCACACCTCCTTAGGGACACCCTGCTCTTTCTGCAAAAAGCATCCAACACAAAAGGTAGTTGTGTGGACACAGAGCAGAAGACCTTTAGTGTGTGCAGCCTGTCCGTGGGCAGAAGCCACCACCAGTTTTCAGTGAGGCAGATGTAGAGCCAGCATTAGGGATGAGCACCATCCTGTTAGAGGTGCGATGGGACAGAGGCGGACGTGGGCACCATGCAGCCCTCACATCTGTTCTGCTACACTGATGTCTTGCCCTTGATCTTAGCCTTCATTGGCAGTGGGTTCTCAAGGTCCAATCCATGCTCCTAGACAATAAATACAAGCTATTGCCGGTGTGGCTCATGAAATTTTATTTCTACTGCCTACTATTTAGGCAGCTGGTATTCAATGCTTTCTCAAGTAGAGTACCTGGCTAATTCTTACAGGTAATCAGGATTGGAATGCACAATTTCTTACTTCAGATGTTTATATGAGCAGCAAGCTTTTTGGCTTGTGGCCATCTTCAAAAATACAGACCAATCATACTTGTTCATGTCCAAGATGCTAGAAACCACCAACACAGGTCAGTGCTCAGCTTACATGGTGTAATACAAACAAGTGGAGAAATAACCTCCCATCCTCTTCCAGTGTACAGTCAAAGCAACAGGCAGGGATGAACAGGCACATAAGGACATAACTATCCAAGTAACATTAAAGTTTATCGCCAGAATTGCTGTTTATTATTTATCAAAGATTGCAAAAAGCTTTTGAATGACAGTTAAACACAGGGATGCCTGTGCAGAGCAGCATTTCCATACCCATCTCCTGCAGCAGCTGACAGCATCCACCTAATGACAGAGGGAGAATGGGGCAGGCTGCTCCCCAAAATGCTTCCGCAGGATGCACATTTGCACCTCAAAGATGTCCTGAATCTGAATCAGAGGTGTTTGTGTTGAACATCTTCGCATGGATTCTTCATGTATGATTGTACCTAATTGCTTTTTGAACTTCTCACATTTCCAACAAACTGTAGCAATGAGTTCCAGGATTTAAGTGCAGTTTGTGAAGAGGCATCTTCTTTTGAACCTGTCTCCTCATAATCTTTTCTGGTGATCCCTCTCTCCTCCCTCCTCCCTGCTGCCACATTAAACATTTCAGTAAATACTTATCCCTAAATCCAGTGGAAACTTGATATCTATAGATAGATAGATAGATAGATAGGTAGGTAGATATAGATATATACATACAAAATAGAATTATATATATCTATCTACATAATAGAACAAAATTCTCTCATATTTAGATAATTCAGCTGGGTTAAAGCATGTGTGTATCTATAAGCATGCAAGATGCTGACCTTCCCAAATTGCAAATGTATGCTTTCTATTAACTCACCAAAAGCCCCTGATGATGCTAGCACAGATAACCTAGCTGATTGAATAGTAGCAATGCAACGTATGTAATTAGTAAGGTGAGAATGTGCAACACACCGCCATAGCACAGATCAAGAGCAGCTGTGCTAGGGGTATTTCCACAGAAGCAGCAAGTTGCAGCAAGGAGGAACACATCTCCTTAGTGAGCCACTTCCAGCACTTGCAGTCTGAGTACAGCCATGAAGTCAGTGTATTGCTCACACTTTCCTGACCACATACTAAAGCAGAAGTCCTCAAATAGATTGCCAATATTGCTGGCCACACTTCGAGTGCTGTTTTAATACATTTTTCCTCCCACCTCAGTGAAGCAGCCCAGTCTTTCAGAGAGAAATGGTATAGAAACCTCACATTATGCTTCTCCATACACTGTATTTATCATGTGTGCCTCTATAGGATTGGGAGGCCCAAGCAGCAAACTCCAGTCTCTGCTGTGACCTACAGGCCAAGCCTGCATCTTTGTAAGAGGACCTACCGCACATAAGGCCTGGGCTCATAGCACGTCTGAGAGCATTTTCCGCTGCAGTGTAGCTCAGAAGAATGGAGGAGAGATGGAAGAGTACAGGGTACGGTAATGCTTCTCTCTCCACTTCCTCCACTGATAACAGCCAGCCTTAAACAGATGCTGCTTTAAGAATGCGCCACACACAGCAGCTCTCTCACGATAGCACAGCACAGGCTACCTCTAAAGCCTGAATAAGGAAAGCACGTTTGGAGGAAGAGAACTAAATGCAGCAGGAAGGACCACTACATCCATGAGAGGAAGCGAAGCTCTCAACGCATCATTCCTCACGGCAACCACACAGACACGCCTCAAGCAGCCCTTCAGGGCGCGAGCCAGCCGCAGCCAGGCGCCATGACTAACGCTGCGTTGCACGACAGCTGCCCAAGGCACCGCGCAGCCCGGGCTGCTCTTTATAGTGCGCTATTTTAATCGCGCTCGCTCATTGGCCACCTCCCGCATGACGGCAGCGGCTCTCCCGGGACAAAGTCCCCTCTGCGCTTCCTCCCCACACCCTCCCTGGGTGCTACGGGTGGCGGGGTGGCGGCCGAGGTGCGGCGCGAACGGCAGTATTTGTGCGCATGCGTAGTGGTCGCGCGGGAAGGAGAGCCGTCACCCGGGCGGGGGCGCGGTGCGCCCTGTGACAGCTCAGCAGGGCGGCGCTGGGAGCCCTCCTGGGCCTGTGGGCTGCGCTGTACTGGCTGGGCGGGAGGGCAGGAAGGCTGTGGCTTCTTCGGCTTCTTCCCTAGCTAAGGATGGGAGAGACAGGAATTGCCCGTTAAAACTCAAAATGGGGGCGGGGCCGAGGGGAGGTTCCCGCCGAGCTGGGCTGAGGGCTGCTGCCGGTGCGGCGTGTGGGCTGGGGAGGGCAGCGCCACCCGAGGGCGGGGAGCCTGCAGGCTGGCTGCGTCAGAGCGGGTTGTAGGGACGTGAGGCTTGGCATCTTGTGGGCAGCATCTCAAGGTGCTGATGTCACCTGTCTGTTGGTGTCCCCGTAGCAGAGAAGGTTTGAAAGGCTGGCAGGGGAAGCAGCTGTGAGTGTGAACCTGAGCGGAGAGGGAATGGAAGAGTCCTGCTGCTGTATCAGTCTATTAGTGAAAGAGCTAGAGTATTCATAGGGAGTGAGTGCACAGATAGCTGTGCCAGGCTTCACAGAAGTGTTCTGCCCTCAGAAGTGCTGCATGTGGACCCCTGCAGGCCCCTGATGCTGGGCAATGTACAGCAAGCCCTAACTCCATGCAACTTTGCTGATTTTTATTTCCAGATATGCTTACCTATCCTACATCTCCAAAACAGGGTCATATAATCATAGAATAGTTTGTGTTGGAAGGAACTCTTAAAGGTCATAGTCCAACTCCTCTGCAATGGACATCTGCAGCTATGTCAGGGTGCTTACAGCCTCTCTAGCCCAACCTTCCCTTGTCCCCAGAAACAAGGCATCGGTCACCTCTCTGGGCAACCTGTTCCAGTGCTTCACTACCATTATGGTTTTTTGTTTGGTTTTTTTTTTCTTATATCTAGTCAAAATCACGTATCTTTTCACTTGAAGTCATTTCCCCTTGTCCTGACACAACAGACTGTGATAAAGAGTCTTTCCTGTAGCTTCCCTTTAGATGCTGAAAGGCTGCTCTCAGGTCTCCCCAGAGCCTTCTCGCCTTCTCCATGCTGAATGGCCTCAGCTCTCTAACTCTACTCTCGCAGGAGAGGTGTTTCATCCCTTGGATCATTTTTGTGGTCCTCCTCTGGATGTGCTCCAGCAGGCCCATATCTCCTGTATTGCCCCATCCCTGGAGGTGTTCAAGACCAGATTGGATGGGGCCCTGGACAGCCTGGTCTAGTATTAAATGGGAAGGTTGGTGGCCCTGCATGTGGCAGGGGGGTTGGAGCTTCATTATCCTTAAGGTCTGTTCCAACTCTGGCCATTCTGTGATTTCCATATCTGGATGCAGTACTCCAGGTGAGGTCTCACCAGCATAGAGTACAGGAGCAGGAGGTGGCACAGCTCAGGCCACTGAAGATTTATTTTTGGCATATAGTGCAACCACTTTGTGAACATTTACCACATAGGCTAAATATGTTATCAGGTCTTGGCGCCACTCAAAAATAGCTGCCGGAACACCTGGTAGATAAAAGACGTGTTATTTTCATACTCTGTATTTATAGAAACAGTTGGTGATTATAGTTGAGATGCATGCTTTCAGTAGCTGCAATCCCTCTTGCTTCCAGTAGGACTGCTGGTATGCACCTGATACTAAGGTCAGAAAACTACTGAGAACGGAGAAAGATAAGATTGCTATTTTATGTGGTCAAAGAGCTCAACACGTGCTGTGTGCTAGTCTGTACTGGGAGGACAGTCAGGTTGTAATTGCCTGGTATTCTTCCATGGGTGTGGATTTTTCTTCAGTTAATCAAATTCTGTTATCACTTTAAAATAATGTGAGACATTATATAAGTCAAAATAATGTCTCACTTGACAGTGCTCTGAAAAAGGCACAACTTAAGTATTAGCTTGACAAACCTAGCACAAGCCAAGCAGAGATAATTACCTCCCTTAAATCTTCCAGGAGTCACCATCTGCAGAGTTCTTGGATGTAGTAATTGGAAGGATGCAACAGTTGAGCTGTGTGGAGATAGATGTGGGAAATCCCTAAACAAAAGGAAAGTCTGTACACACTGAAATTTCTGGCAGTGAAACGGGTTTGAAATGCAACAACATATTTGTGTGGCCTGGTGATACTTGTGTAAACCCTTCGTCTCCCAAGGAATTTGTCTGTGCAGAGATGATCTGTGTTAATCTGGAGCCTGAGCCAAAAGAATCCTGGACGGCTTCTGCCAGAGGATAGACCTACCACATCCTTAGCACACAAATAGGAAAGAAAGGCTTTTTAGAGTCTTGTCTGCTAGCATCTACAGTAAAATTTTACTTGGACTTTGACTGTATCCTGATTCAGATCATGTTTTTGGCAAGTGGAGTTACAACATAATACATAAACTTTGCAGAAACTTTTTCTGTTTGTCCAGCTTCTGTTACAGCATTTCAGAACCTCCTTCTGTTACTGCCTAAAGAAACTAATTATTCTCAAAAGTATTTAATTGTTTTAATAATTTGCTGCTAGTTCTTTGTAATAAAAATTCCTCATAATTTCTAAAGAGTAACCCTGGCTACTAGTCTTTTATACACTCAGAGCTGTATTGTGCTTTTATGTGTATTTACATACGTAGTACTGTTGTAAGAACAGAGAAATGCATTCTTCTCAGCATCATTGTTTTCTTCTTTCAGAAGAAATTTCCATACTCCATACCATGGGAGTACCAGCATACAGATTTTGCACAGAGCTTCCATCACTGATGAGCGCATGTAGACAATAAAAGCAAGGAATCTCTTGCCTCTCACATATAGAGTTTAATTAAAAAGCCATGAGAGATTTTTCAAGACTTTTAATATATTTGGCAACACAACCTCACTGTGTGTCAAGATTCACAGGATTTTTGATGAGGCACACTGTTGAATTGTGTTTACTAGGAAAAAGTTTGGTAGGAAGTAGAAAGTAAAGTTTGCTGTTTTTACACAGATCTGCCTCATCTGGTTAGCTCTGTCCATGTCATTTGTTTTGGGTTGCTCTATCCAAACAAACAAAAAAAAAGGTAATTTTTAGATTAATAATAGACTCAATTTTAAGACAATTTCCAGTGATTGGAAAGTCAAGGTTCATTGACATTAAGGTTCAAATATACGCAACATAATTTCAGTCTTATTCCCTGAAGAGTGATTTTGAAATGATCCATACATCCCAAATGATTCAATTAGCTACAGTTTAAAAATAACGTGAGTACTTACAAATCCATCTGTCAGCTAAGATCTTTCAAAAGGTAGTGTTTGAATGCAAATTTTACTACTGTTGAGCTGACTATCAACTGCTTGGTCAAGCTGAGCACTTCTGCTGATATTAGGAAAATAATCCTTGAATGTTTGGCTTATCTCCTGTAACTGAAGCAAACACAGATTCTCCAGCTCCCACTGACTTCACTAGGAATTAAATGAGGACTTGTGTCAAAAGTAAAGTGCAGGTCATTCCCCAACATCAAAACTGTGAAACTTCATTGTTAGTGCAGGTCTTGTGTGCTTTTTGTCACTTAAGTAATTACAGGTTACTGGGACCAGCAGTTTTACTACCACCAGCAAACAAGGAATGCCAGTGAAGTTTTGCTCTCACTAAAAGTCTCACCTACTACAGGAGAACAAGGGATCTGTGAGTAGTGTTTAAAAATCATGTAGGTCCTGTTTTTGTCTTGCTAGTGCAGTGGACAACTCTGCAGTGCACAGCTCGATTTTCTCAGACCCCAGGATGTCAGAGAATGAACTGTAGCATCTTATAAGTGAGGAAAGTTATAGCCATGAGAGGTGCTAATTTTAGGTTGCAGTTGTTGACATATAATCAATTTCATAAAATCACATTTTACCTGCCTCATTATTAAGCAATTTGCAGTGCACAGGAAAAGATAGGCTGAGTAGAAGTCTGTCTTTGCATTCAGAAGGCAGCTCTTCTAAAAGGCTGTTCTAAGAGGGTGGTTAAATGAAGTGAATTTGTCACATGCATAGGTTTTTTCCACCAAGAGCCAACTGTTGGCAACCTAATGAGAGTCTGAAAAACTGTTTACAAAGCCAGTCCTGTTGCTTGTTCCAAATGTTACTGCATAGAAAAATAATTGCAGCTTTTATCAGAAAAATGTGAGCTCCAGAGTTGACAGAAACAGTGCAGTTTTGTAGAGGAGAACGTAGAGGTCATTTTGCATGCATGGGTCATTAAGGGAAGGAACTGCACCAGAATGTGGGAGGATAGAAAGCAAATGTCTGAGAAGGTCTTACGTACATGCAAGAAAACAGGGCAGCTTGTATGTAGCAGAGACTTACAATGTGAAAATCACTTTTACTGACAATTGCAGTTCCGAGAGGTTGTCTTGTTAACTCAACCTGTATGGATTAATCAAGCATTTTTCTCCTGTGGAGAAAGAAAAAAAAAAAAAAAAAAAAGCAATGAAATTGGGAACCTGCTCTGTGATATAGAGAACAAGGACGGAGGAGAATCTTTTTCTCACACTCAGCCAGATAGGACAGGTCAATATAGGAGCTGTACAATTATGTCTTTCAATTTTTGAAGAGTATTTTAAGATGGTTGTAAGTTATCACTAATGTTGAGGAATAATCACAGTTCCTAGTATTTCCTTTCTTACCCTTTTGCTATCAAGTGCTTATCCTGGGCCTGCTCTTCAATGACTGAAACTTAGGAGCATTTTGGAGTAAGGCCGGGGTCTCTCTAATGCTGTATTCGAGCTGCATGAAGCAGAAGTTGTATAGAAATAAGAGAAACATTGAGTTTAAAAAAGCATGTTGGAATCATTTTCATTTCCTCATATTTTTTCATTAACAATGTTGCTTTACTTTCAGGTGGCTCCAGGCTGGTAACAAAGAGTGCTTAGGCTGGGCTAAAAGTGCTTGATTTCCTCTGTAGTGTTGTGTTTGCTCACTTGAGTGTGCCAGTGCTCCCATAGAAATGCAGTACTTCATGTAACAAAGTATTTACATGTCACCTGTAAAGCAGGCCATAAGTTACTTTCTTTACTTGGGAGTACATTCTGCTCGGGGCCATATTAATTGAGTATTAATAATTAGTGAAAAAAGTCATGAAGTATAGTAAATCTTATTGTGCTGTTAATACAGTGTTCACTGAATGCTGTAGCAGGCCCTTTCTCTCTTGCACGTGCTGCCCCATCCAGCTGTGACAGTGAAGGTCCTCAAGTGTCTCACAGCAGTCTGTTCCCAGCACGGAGCACCTCCAGCCAGCACACCCTGTTTATAGCAAGAGTTTTATTAACTGCTTGCACAGAACAAAGCTCTCAGTCCCACCATGCCCAGTCATTGCGGCAAGGCCTGGATGGGTAATTCTGAGCAATTTCTACCTGAGAAACCTCCTTCTTGGCTGCTGACTATAGACAGGTGAAAGAGTTTTTCAAACAAATTCAGGGTGAGTCACACCTTCCTTCCTTCCTAGGAATAAGAAGTGTTTATGCCTCACTCCACCACCCTCTCCTGTCCCTCTTCATCTGAGGTGAGAACCAGGGACCTCAAGATAGCTTCCTCTCCATCTGGGGTGAGGAGCAAAGGGTCTGCACTGCACAGTAGCACCACTGACAGAAAAAAAAAGAAAAAAAAGAAAGAAAAAAGAAAAAAAAAAAAAAAGAAAGAAAGAAAAAAGAAAAAAGCAGTGTTGGATTAAAGAGTGCAAAAGGATAATGGAGCAGAGCAGAGCAGCCAGGCTTTTGAGGATCCCAGGAACCAGGATGTAGCTGTGAGGCATGTAGCTCCAAGCTGGAAATCTTGTGTAAATAATAATCCTTGAAGAAGGGGTGAAGGAGAAACTTCAATAATTCAAACAGTAGCTTCACATTTACCTTCCCTTTCCTTGTTTTTACTCTTGCATAGCCAAAACTGCCTGACCTCCCTTGTGTGAGCACTGCCACCAAACATCATTTTGTATCACAAATAGCATAGGCCAGCAGGACTAGAAAGGTTATCATCCATCTATGGTACTCAGCACTGGTGAGGCTGCACCTCAAGTACTATGTTCAGTTTTGCCCCCCTCACTGCAAGAAAGACATTGAGGCCCTGGAGCATTTTCAGAGAAGGGCAACAAAACTGTGAGGGGTCTGGAGCAAAAGTCTTATGGAAAGCAGCTGAGGGAACTGGGATTGTTTAGTGTGGCAAAGAGGAGGCTCAGGGGAAACCTTATCGTTCTCTACAACTGCCTGAAGGAAGTCTGTGGCAAGGTGTGTGTCAGCCTCTTCTCCCAGATCACTAGCAAGAGGACTTGAGCGAATGGCCTCCAGTTGCAGAAAGGAGCTTTGGGTTGAATGTTAGTAATAACTTCTTCTCAGAAAGAGTGGCAATTGGAACAAGATTAGTATAGTTGCTGAGCCCCTAGTTTGTTCTATTCGTATCATCTTAGTTCCCTAAAGAATAGAGAGCTTACCTCTTCCACCCTTACCTGTGTTTAAATAAGATTGCAGAAGAAATCAGGTAATAGCACCATGACCAAAAAGGAGCAGCATTGGACCTGTAAACTCAGAACGTGCACAAAATCTAAACCTAGTGTTTGATAAGGCCCATTAAACAGGTGGATTACTGTGATCCTGTGCTCAGATTGACAGATCAGTTTGACTCTGACCTCACACAAGTGCAAAAGAATTTCTGACTTTGTCCCTGTATGCTGCGTGCAGGTCTTTGGATAATGCTTAAACCACAAACACAGTTCAAGGTTATCATTTCACATTAACAAGGCTTGGCTAAAACAGTAATCTAAAGTAACCAATTAAGAATTGCAATGGGAACCTGTGCTGAAGTCATAGAATTTTCTCTGCAAAACCTCTGGATTACTGGCCTGATCTGGACTGCAGGGCTTTGGCACTGAGGCAGGACTGCAAGTTTGAGAGCTGTGGGAAGGGGTGCACTCACAAGCACCACTTGGAGCTTTCATTCTCCTCTCTGCAAGTAGTTTCACTAAAGCTTAGTTTCCATAAATAGGCTCCACAGAATTCGTTTCTTGGTCTAAAAATGATCCACTTACCTTTTTTCCTAATGTTCTGAGATTGCTTTTAGGCTGTGAGTTGGAATCCATCTGGGTGCTGGATATGCAGCACTGCATTTCTTCTCAAGGGAGGAAAAGCTGTGTTTATTAGAAGAACAGGAAAACAACCTACATTCACATCTCAACCTTGCAATGTGCTTGTCAGTGCAATTTTCACTGGGTTCTTTAGGGATACTAATTACAGAAATACATTGTTCAAGCACACACAGTTGCTGCAATTGTTTTTCTGAAGCATTAACAACTCAAAGAAAAACATTATACTCAAAATCAAAAACCTCAGCCTCAATTTTACAGCCATGGTTAATATCACTGGTCAGAGATTTCAGGGCTAGGAGAGAGAATTTAGATTATTTGCCTTGTCTACCATGAAACTCAGGTTGTCAGATAGGAATGCCAATAACTTTTGTTTGAGGCTTTGTTTGAGTTAGATTGTTCTGCTGAAATTTAACACCTGCAAAAGCAAACAAAACTTTTCCTTACTTCTTATTTAAGCCACTATTTACTCACCATTGCTGAACAGTGGCATTTGAAACATAATTGCTTGTTGAAGCGTAGAAAAAGAAATCGTTTCAAATACTACCCACTGGCTACTATGGTGAAATGGTCTCCATAATCTTACTTGAAACAACAATGCTGTGTCAAAAGTCCTTAAGCACTGCACTACTATATTGTATTTTAATATAATTCCTGTACAAAATATTTTTTTTTCCTTTTTTTTTTCTTTTTTTCTTTTTTTCTTTTTTTCTTCAAAATAAGGGTGCAGACTGAACTCTGAGACAAGGAGGAGCCTTGTGCAAGAGTCTGTTCTGTTATCTAAAGGTTATTGTTTCTTATCTGTACAGATCCGTACAACACAGCTAAACCCACTATAGTGATGAGTGAGCAGCTATTTCAGGCAATAGGGGTAGAGGGTAGAGAGTAATGCAAGGAAAGAGCACATTTAGATATCAGCAGTACAGTAAAAAAGTGTTCTTTGCTGTGACATTGCTTACTATCAGACAGTCTCCTAAAAGGAGCAGGAGAGTTGCTATTGATTTGAATAAAACTGGGGAAAAAAACGCTGTGTTGCTGGAGGCAGTTGTGCTCAGAAAGAAACAGTTTGGATGAAATGCTGCTTGACAGCCAAGAGAGCTTTCTTGAGTCCTGTCCACATTGCTTTCTTGTGACGCCCTAGCTGCAGGTCTCCAGGATGCTGGTAGCTCCTCCCAGGCACACCTCCTGTGCAGGGGGTCCCCACATAGGGACTGACGGGTGGCATTCTTCACAAGGACATCCAGCTCTTACTCCACCCCGTGATTCAGCCACACATTCACACCCGGTTTTGTTGTCGTTTCTAAGGCCCTTTTGGCATTCTCCTGTCTCATAGCATAAGGCTGGTGAAGCAAATAGCTAAACTCAGGACTGTTGGTCTTCCCACTCTTCTCAGTGCTGCTGTCCTGTGTTGCAGAGCAGCCACGGAGGGCTTGGCAACAGAACTGCTTCACAAGCCAGGCCTGCTGTGTCTGCATGGACTGCTGAACCCTTCTTGCAGGCTCTTGCAAACCAGCCTCAGAGACCAGTTTCTCACTGACAGTAGCCAAGAAGCTGCTCATGGCTCCATGCCCAAAGTGCTTGGACACTCTGAATTGAGGTCACACCTAGGAAGTCTGTGTTTCAATGTGCTGTGTCAAACCAGGCCGCATTACCTGGTATGGCCCAGTAATAAGCCCTTACATCAACCACATCCACATAAGAATCACGTTTGACCTTGAAGCTGAACTTTGCAAAAGAAAACTATGATTGATATTATGCTTACACCTCACATCCCGTCTGTCCTGGCACACAGACCACAGTCAGCGAGGCCAAGACAGAGCAACCCAGTTTCTTAGAGGGCCATAGCAGCGTATATATGCTTTTGGACTAACATGGTTCACTTGTGTCTACAAGATGTTTCCAGCTCATAAGCTCCTGGTCTCAGATCTGCAAGGCCAAATGACATTGTTGGGAAAAAGAAGCAAACCAATTGGATACAGAAACTCTACTTCATGTTTGATTGCTGCAACTACATGATTTACCACACCAAGATAATTAAACATACCAAACAATTAGCTCATGAACTATCAGCTCTGGGGTCACCAGATCCTCTGCCTCAACAGATACCAGGTAGAAGGACACAACACCCTGCCTCTTGTGTCCAGCAGCAGCTCACCCTTATCCTCCCACACTGTAAGTGCTTGAATGTCAAGTCAGAGCCATGGACCAGCAAATCTGACTCCAAAAGCATTCCTAGCAATTACTTGGGAGGGTACGTGGATGAAACCTGGCACAAAAGGTGATCATAAGGTTACATGTTATGTGTAACCAAATAGATTTTCCCTCTCACCTTGCTTTTGTCTTTTATTAAATGAGACCAAAGGATTCATCACGCAGCCTTTTAAAGAAAATCAGCCTATTAGTAAGTGAAACAAAGCTGAGCTGCATTCTGCCTAGGAGCAAATCACATCTGTATGTGATGTAAGTCATGGTGGTAACATCTGAGGCAGCACTCCAACTCTATTTCAAAGGTTCAAGTGGTACTCAATTAGTACCTAGCTCCTGAGCTACCTACTGCAGACAGGTGAAATTCACCTGCTATTTTAAAATAGTGTAATTATACTATTTTCCAAGGTGTTTTGAGGAGTTGCTAGTCAACACGTTACAGGACTCGGTGTTTATCTTTTGTGTCATGCGTCAGAGGTAATTACTTCACAAGCTAGGTGTGTCACTGGGAAGCACTGAAAACTCCCTTTGTTTCAGGTTACCTGAATGCCTCAGTATGGGAGGTGAGCAATAACCAACCTGATCCCCTTCTCCTCCAGTGAGGCCTCATAGAAGTTACTGCGAATGGTAGCCTCTTTGTTTCTGAGTTACTGGCCTTAAAGCAGCTGGGGCTGATTAGATAAGGTGACTCCATCTGCAGCCTTGATATAAAATAAATTTAGTTTGCCCTCACTGTATAGCAAGGTCATTGAAAACTAATTAAGGACATATGTATCCATTTGTAAATTGTAAATGAGCTAGCTGTTTGCTGTGAAACACAAATAGCTTTTTCTCATGAATGAATATTTAATTGAGGTACAGTTCTAGGTAAGTCCTTACAAAATATCAGAGTTAGAATTCAGATCTAGTGAAAGTTGGCAGTGTTCTGCTTTGTTTAGCAATGTCTCTCTGCTTCTACCTGCTTGTATTTGGTCTTACATATTTATTGGTGCCCGCCTGTTTTCAACATTATTGTTATCTCAAAGCAAACAGAGGATTTCCCAAGAGATAGGACGATTCTTGTACTTCAGCCTCCAGCCTAGTGCCTTACTCATATACCAAGGTCCAAATTACCCTCCTTTATCCACAAGAGAAGCCTCCATTGAATATTCTTTTCTGATTCTGCATTGGTTGTGCAGACTGAATTGCCTACAGACAGCTGCAGTCTGTAGAGAGCAGAAAGAGCTTTTGCACCTAACATCAGTTTGAAATGCTCTTTTCTCTAAGAAGCAGGTGAGGCAGAGTAGGAAGACTGATGTAGTGCCGGTAATAAGCAGCAATCCTGATATTACTTATTAACACTAACCAATCTTATGCTACAAAGCGTTCAAAGGGAGAAAGGTCTTGTTGCACAGAGCATTTAAATATTTGAAACTAGGCAAAATATGGTGAAAACAAATGGAGGAGATGGTACTGAGTGGAAAACAGGAAAAAAAGGGACCATCTGAGATTTACCAAGTAACCTCTGCATCAAGCAGTTCCTTTTGTTTCAATTAGGAAAGATGAGGGAAAACCCTCTTCTACTGTGTTAGTTGACATAAAACATCAGAGTACTGTACATCCTACATCACTGACAGGCGAGGCAAGAACCATACTAGATCTTGCATCAGTATTTAACAGTAAATTGCCTTACTGACAGGGCACCTTCTGAAGTGGAATCAAAAACCAATTACAGTCAATGCAAACAACTTCACAACTTATAGTGAACGAGCACTTTGCTGTGGAGAGAACTAGAAAGGTGGTAGAATCACTGTCAATTAGTTCTGAGTCTGAGATTTAAGGCCTTTCTAACAGAGTCTTGATTTGAGAATCACTGGGTGAAACTCAACAGCTTACTTTACGCTGAAAGTCAAACAATATGGTCCTTCTGATCTTAAAAGCTGTGAGTCAGTATGATATCACAGGAAAAGAAAATATACTTGATATCCATTAATTGTACATTTTATTTTGTGTGCTTATTTTAGCCCTGAAATTCTGAATTTTGACACTAGTTGAAATAGCTTGTTACTTTATTTTTGAATTCCTACAGCATCATCCTTACAGTGAGAGCAATAGAAATGTCAGTGATGTAGATTTTTTCTCTCTATCATCCAGTGGAGACTTTTTTGCCTTCACCTCCCTTTACTACTCATGCCTGCTGTAGGCACACATCTGCGTTCCATTTGTGAAGCACATGAACTAAGTTGGTCAGCATTATTTGACCCGCTCTTTTTGTCAACACTGTCTTTTTACATCTCTAGTTTGATGCTTAAAAAAAAAAGAAGATCTGGTCCCTGTAGAAATAATTCAGTCTTGCAGGGGGTTATTTGAAATACATGGCACTGAGCTCTGCTTCTAATCAGACTCCAAATAAAATAGCACAAAGGAAGATATGAAGGTAAAATAAAGATTACCTGTACAGGGGAACTCCCTTCCTCTTTCCTTTCTTATCGTATGCATTAAGATCATTATTTCATTTTGAGACGTAAAAGCTGTGTTGCCCCTAGTTTCCATTTGCTTCAAGTCTTGGACAAACACGGCTGGATTTACATGTGTAGAATAATCTTTACAAATCCAGTACATTGTGAACATCTATTGTCACTTAATACATTTTTAAACAATGCTTTGTGATGTGATTGTTCTCATTCAACAGTTTGAGCAAATTCTTATTGCTTTTTTTACTATTTATTTTCACTAATAAAATCAATAATTCACGGTGGATTTCAGTTACAGAGACAATTATTTTAGATTTTCCTTGCTTGATCACATGCATGTTTAAACTGTGTTCATCTAGTATGTCCCTGTACAGCTCCATCATGGTCAAGGAGAGCGTCATGTAATCTCAAGGAACAATTGTGGGTGCAGCCTGAAAAAAAGAAAAAGAATGCAAAGATAAGGGTCTTCCAGCATGTAACTGTTGGATCATTTAACAGCGTTTATTTCCAGGCCTGAATTCACCTAACCATTTCTTAGCACAAACTCACACGTACTGGAAAAACACATTAATTGAACTTGGCAGAAACTTCTCATTTAAGGAACAACAAAAAATGAGGAACAAGCTTTGAGCTCTTTTACCATGTATATCCCCTTCAAAAGAAACAAAAGAGACCTGGAGAATGTCAACAGTGCTTTGAAAGAAAACGGTCGTCCACTGTGACCTGAATTTGTCGGGTTTTCATTAAGCTCAGTGTGGGTAGTAAGGAAGGAGCTCTCGGTTCAAGCAGAACTGGAACTCAACAGATCCTTGGCCACTGTTCCTGGAGCATGACAGTGCAGGAATGCCAACGTTTCAGGAATTCTAACTGGGAATAAACTGCCTATTCACAGTCATGCGCAACGAAACAGAAGCTACTGTCAGTAATACCATATGGCTGCTTTTCCTCCTACAGCTCTTAGAACTGACAAAGAAAACGATCCTCTTCATTTTAAACCTATACAAAGTGTCAGAATACGGTATGCTTTCTTTTATCTGCTACACTGAATGCATGGCCTGTATGTTGTCAGAAGTAAGTCACTCTGTGTTTCCAGTTAGAAAAAATCCCAGGAGTAAAACTGCAAACAGATCACCAGAGATGCTGCAAGACTATTCCAACCATGCTTGGAAAATTTGGATAACACTTCCTATATTCAGAAACAAGAAATTCAAACCTGCCTCTTACTGAGACCATTGATTTTTTTGTGGGCAACCAATAATGGTATTTTTAGGACATAAGAGTCCTTGCTTCCTAATTTCATGGTAACCATACTTGGGAAGATGTGTTTTAACTAAAACATGGCTAGCGCCAGATCTGTTAAGCAAAACCACTTTATACTGATAGGATTTTCTTGAGAAAATTCTGTTCAATTCTTTGAATTCATAAATGCATTACATCAAGTTGAAATGTTACTAAAGCAGAACAGCAACATTAAATTGTTTTTCTCCTTAAAACAGATGGAAAATCTTAAAATACAGTTTGGTTAGAGGGCAGTAAGGCACTGGAGCTGTTACAGGGAAGAAAACAGAAACTGGGTCCTGCTACTGACCTGCTGAGCAATCTAGGTCCTTTCATCACCTCCCCTGCTTTAGTAATTCCTGTAAGTTGTTAGTAATGCTATACTCTTAATAGAGCAGGTTAAGAACAAGTGTTGGATCAGAGCAGCTGCTAATCCTGTAACTTAAAGGCTTTCATTTTGATTTGGCTCTTATGCTTGATTGTGAGTTCTGGCACAAAATGCTGTAGTTAGGGTGCCTATAAAAGCTTTCTCCTGCTTACCCAATGCCTAAATCCAGAACCAACTGTGTATTTTTGTTGCTTTTTTTTTTTTTTTTTTTTTTTATATGTGAATTTCCCAAGCTTCTACATTTGAATTTGTTCTTTTGTATTTCTGCCCTAGACTGTTGTGATGAGAGCTGATTTCATGCCTGCTCTCGTGTTCCTTCACTCCTGACTCAAATGGCAATTCAGTTCATAAGCATTATCAGATAGTGCTTATCAGTATTACACATGATGCCCATGCTCCAAAAATTCAGTGTGCTGACTGTCAGGACATTGTGAAGAAAGCCACAGAACTGAGAGCTTTCATCTCCTCTCTGGAGATGTGATCTAGTCTGGTTTTACTGTGTCTGCAAAGGATGAATAGATTTTTTGTATAAAAAGGAAGGAAGAGGTAGCCTTATATACCTTCCCCTCCATTTAGGAGGGAACTAGGGAGTGAAATGTAAAGGAAGAAACTCAGGGACCCAGAAGAGAGTTTCTCACTGTAACAAAAACAACTTGCTGCCCTGCTGAACTGAGAGTTTAGCAACTCACAGTGCTCTGTAGCCAAGGTGGTTTGAAAACACGTCTTGCAAAAGGCAAAAGCCCAGCAAGGAGGCTAAGGGTCTCTAACGAACGCTCCAACATGGCAATTGTTCTTTCCCCTTCCACAGATGACAGTACTGCCTGTATGGGTTCAACATGTTCTTGTTGGTTGGGTTTGGGTGGAGTGGTGTTGAGTAAGCTGGTAGTTATGGATACCACTGAGGTATCTATCTTTCCCCATATATTGCAGGTGATTGTGGAAGAATGGCACAGGGTTATGTGCTGTGGCAAACAGGAACCTAGAGATTGTATGTTGCCACATTTAACTATTAGTCACCTAAATTCCTTTTGCCTCTGCCTCTTTGTAGTTAGGAAGCAATGGTAACTGCAATAAAAATTCTTCTTTTTTCAATCAAGCCAAAATATGGTATTAACAGCAAGGAATAAAAATACCTATATGCTTTTTTGCACCTATATGCCCCCACAAAATAATCCAAGACCACCACATAGCGTTCCGAGTGAGAGTGGCAACAACTAGGTTCTTACAGTATTTCTTACAATTGTTTCTTGGGCTCAGCAGACTGCCCAAAACAGTGATGTTCTGGTCTGCTCCACATCCAGTACCATCCTACTGAATAAAGCATGAGTCCCACCATAAACTTACTGCTTAAAAGAGGAAGTCTCCTCACAAGCCATATGTTGTCAAATTAATCTGATTAAAGTTTATCTCAGTGGGATTGCTCTATCTGAAAACAGAGGCTCTAGCTGTTTCCCAAAAATGTTTTACTTCATCTCCCTCAGAAGCCATTTAGCTTTGATTGTTTTTTCTCACCTGCTGTTGCAAGCTGCTTCACATATGGCTCAGTTTTACAGTAAAGCCCTCTCCTGTTTCCTAAGATCACACAAGAAGGGAATATAGCTGTGAGTTCTATCAGTCTCTGCTCCCCTCCCTTCTCTCAAAGCTGAAGCAAAGGTGATTCTTTTATTTGAACGTGGCACTATGAGTGAGTGCCTAGCACCATCTCTGCTGCAGGACCTGAAGGAAAACACAGAACTGTGTTTTTGTTACAATCCCTTGGCATACCCCAGGGTTTCCACAGCCCTGTATCTTTGACATGCGCTGGCTGTTACCTTGTTTTGAAGCTTCCAGTTCCTTTTCTTGAAATAAGGACATTGAAGACAGCAGCTTGGATCTGCACGTTTCCCTAATCTCAGAGCTCACCTGCATGCCATTGCGGCACACCGGAAGACCTGTGTCCTATAGTCCGTTGCCCATGACAACGTAAATACGATCTGTTCTCACACCCCAGCAGGCGGGAGGCCACAGCTCCTGCAGGTAAAGCAGCTGGGAGCTCTGCAGGAGCATGGCGGGGGATGAAGGGTGAGGAACAGGGGGCACAGGCACAGTGCGTTGTGTCTGCGTGCCTACGAATCGGTTGGTTGGTTGCACAATCTTGATGCAAGAGCACAGCCGGCTGAAGCAGCCTTCTCACTTTGTAGTAGCTTTGGTGGATTCTCAAACTTTTATTTAATGCTGAAAATGTGCTTTAATACAAAAATCCATCCTGCCTTTTATTTGAAGTAATTCATTTTGGGCTTCAGAAAAAAAAAAAATCAACAACAACAAAAAAATAGCACCTTTAGCGACTGGCGATCGAGCACACGAGTCGCCCACACACATTAACTCCAAAGGGCCTTTCTTCCCTCACCCGCTCTCCAACTTGGCGATCGCCATCCCCGCCGCAGGGTCAGGGTTCGGGGCAGAAGCAGGTGGAGCGCGGCCCGCCGCCATATTGCGCTGAGGGTCTCCCGCTGAGGGCTGAAGAGAGGCCGCGCCCGCGGGCACGGGGGCGGCGCCGGCAGGAATGCCCGCCCGCCCGCCGCACCTGTTGCATCGCTCCGAGAACGGTCCCACCCGGGGCCGGGGTCCCTAATCCGCGCCCCGAGGTGTCGAAGCGCGGCCGGTGGGGTGTCTGGCCGCTGGGCGAGGCCGCCCCGTGCTCGCAGAGCGCAGGGGGGAGCGGCGGGGAATGGCCGGTGGCGGGTGAGTCACTGCCGCAGCCCCACCTGCGTACTTAATCGCCGCCGGGCGGCCGGCGCCGCACTCGCGGTTGTGCCGTCGCCGTGGCCGGGAGCGGCTCTCACTCCTCCTCCTTCTCCTCCTCCTCGCGGGGCGCTCGGCTGAGGCGGGGCAGCTGCTGCATGAGCGTTGCTCTCTGGAGCTGCGGAAGCACCGACAGCGCTGAAAATGCCGAAACCGGTAAGCGAGGCGCGGGGGCTGCCCGGGTGCTCTTGTCTGCTGCGCCGGGGCTCTGCCGAGACGCCTAGGGAAGCTCCGTGGGCCGCGGACTTAACCGCGAGGAAGTTTCGGAACCAACCGAGCGGCCGCTTGGAGCGGCTTGGTTCAAACGCGGAACCGCCCTAGGGAGCCATGCTGAAAGTCGGGCCGCTCGCCCGGCGGCGGTTGGAGGGGAGGACCGCGCCCTGGGGCCGCCGAAGGCGCTCCGCCGCCGCGTCCGGGAGGGAGCCGGCATCGGCGGGAGGCTGCGGGCGTTGGTGAACTGCCCTCGGAGCGCCGTGACCGGGATCGCGCGGAGCTCGCGGGGCACCGAAAGAAGGGTTTACTGTGCTCCCGCGTCCGTGAGGTGGCAAAACTGCACCGGCTCTCACTTGGTATTTGTGAACGCTTAATGACAGGTCCTCGTTTCCTGCCTTCGTGATTAAAAAATTAAGTCCTAGGGAACCGTAGTACCGTTCCCCACAGTGCTGCCGCTGGGTCTGTTGCCAGGTGGTCTCTAGCAGTCTTCATTAAGGCGTTTCTGCTCCTTTCTTTCTTTCTTTCTTTTATTTTTTTTATTTTTTTAATTGAACAAACTTGAATACTATCAATTTTTTTTTTCTTTTTGTCCTCTGAGCCCCCGCCTGCGTCAGTTTGCTCGTGTTTTTTTTTTTTTTTGTTTGTTTGGGTTTTTTTTGTTTTCAGATTGTTTTTGCTTTGAAATCTGCTGCCACACTGGCAGTTAGAAACGGTAACTCCCTTGAGGAGCTGGCTGGTACGGAGCTGCCTGCACTCATTGATGCAGGCAGCTTCGGAACTCTGAAGAGCAGAGTAGATTGTTGCTGTCTGTTTCCAACAGAAGCAGTACTCAAAACACAGCACAGTGAAGAACTTCCAGGATTATTAGCTATACCCTTTGGAAGGAGACTAGGCAAGCTTATCCTTGGGGTAATAAGCAGTGGATGTTCTGCCACTGTAACACTAAATTTAACTTAGTTAAGGAGAGGTTAGATTAATTTACATTGCAGTTTCTGTAAACTTGGGGGGGGGAGAAAGAATTCTTTCTGTCTTTGAATTCTTTGAAGAAGTGCTAAACCTTCATTCTTCCTGGATGTATTTAAACAACAGGAGGTGATACTGGAAGCCATGAGTAGGTGTGGGAAAAATCTCTTTATCTCTCTGCGGAAGGACAGCCATGCTTTAATGGTTTCTGAGACGTGACCTACTGTCCAGGATTTATGGAGAAGACTCTTTGTCCAGAGTTTGTGTGGCATAAGCTGTTCTTTTTGCAGTCTGCATTCAATCCCCCTTGTTAGGGGGGCTGACTGCCACCTTAGTGGATGCATACAAAGATAATTTTGTAGAGGTTTTTTAACAGAACACTTTGGTCTGACTTCTGCAGATCGAGACTGTATTCAGATCCTTCAAATCCAGCTCATTTGTTCTTAATACAGCTAAATAGAATTCCTATCACTTTGCAGGGTGAGGTGGGAAGGGGTGTGAAGTTGTCGCTCCAGAGCAGAACTGTGCTCAGAAGGAGCTTGATAAGAGCCTTTGAGGTGTGTGGGGACTGATATCGTGAACTCATAGGAAATGAGGAGGCAGTTTTTGTTTGATAGGTCAAATATACGGGTACTAAATAGATTTTACCTGCACTTTGTTCGCGTGTGTCTTGACAGCTTGGCATAAGTATACACAGTGTTGTTTGTCAGACTTCATGCTGATAGGGATGTGGTTTTACAAGCTTGTTATCAGTTGTCATCTTAAAATTTTTATTTCTAAGCAGAAAATAATCACCAAGATCTCGGCAGTTGCTTTCTACCTGTCCCCAAAGCAGCAAAGGTAAACCTCCATACAGAGCTTTTGTGGTAACAAAAAATATGCAGACAGAAAGCTTACAGACTGGAATTTAGTCTTTCGCAGTAAATAAGTCCAGTGACAGTAAAATGTGAGTGATTTTGTATATTAGTAATGTACCATAGTGAAGTACTAGAAAGCCAAGGACACGCCAGATTCTGTACCAGTGCTTTATTGCTGTTTGTTGGATCAGACGCATGTCTAGGGTGCTCAAAATATATCTTGGCAATGTTTCAGGTAATAATTGTGAAATCTTCTTTGATAATTAAGGCAAGTGTTAATTTATAATTCAACACAGACTTTCTGCCATGTGTAACAGTTATAGAGTAACAAGATCTCTGGAGTAAGCTGTAAATATGTAACTTCTCTTATATGTAACCACAGCTCTTAAGGGTTTTTAGCTGGAAGTTCACCAACAGTTCAGAAGCTTAACTTCCATCTAGTCTGTACAATAGTTCATAAGGTTTCACGAATGGTAAATTATTACATAAAGAGACACGAGATATTATCTTGTTCAAATCTTTCTTTGTTTTCTGAGAAGAAGCAAAGTGTGCAATAAACTGACTTGATCAGCCTTGCGTCTTTTCATTACTGAAGTGTCTGTGTGCTCACTGTGTTTTTCCTTGATCCATATGTTGCTAGCTTATTTCTGTTTGACTCATTGCATGGATGCTGTTCTAGCTGAATACATCCCTTGGCAAAGCAAGCCAGTCAAATAGAGCCACAGGGCTGAGGACTACTGAACATTACTTACAGAAGGAGAAGGAAACGTGATCTCTGCTCTATAGACCTGTTAATTTGATCTGACCTATCAACATTCTGTGATACTTTTTTGAAAGTAGATTATTCTTCCTACTCTTAGAAAATATTGAGGGGGAGGGAGAGAAAGCATCGCAAGAAATGATGTCAGCTTTGCAGTAGAGCATTTAATGTAATGTCACATAAGGACCTTTAATACTTGTCTACATTTTTATAACACTCCTGAAGAGAGGTCAGCAATAAATGCAGCCTATCAACTTCTGCTGCTAAAAGAGAGTGCGGGGAATATATCAAGGCATCATTTTTTTTTTACCATGTATACTAATAGCCTATGTTCAGAAAGCTGAGCATACCAACAATGTCCGCCAGTGATGGGGGGGCAGAGAGCCATCATATATAGGAGTATAAAGCACATATATTAAAAAAAAAAAAAAAAACACAGAAAACCAAAAACTCTCCCATTTCAATAATTGATAGGGTGGTGTAAAGAGTTCCCTCAATGTATAGGATAGAATGATATGAACTAGTTGTTGATAGAATGGACTGTCTTGTCCATTGATCTGCAATATATGGAGTTTCCCTGATGGAAAGCAGTAATAGAAGGTGTTAGAAAATTTATTGAAAATAGGTTGTCATACTTATCCTTGTCCAGAAAACACAAATCCTAAGCAGAACATGGAGAAGGATTTGGGGTTGATTGTAGGAGGAAAGCCTCCTCACAAAAAGGGAGCTTGTTTAGTTTAAAATACAAAGGATTTAAATGCCAATGAAAGGGAGGAATTGCTTTAAGCAAGGCTGATAGTTAAGGGAACTTGGAGATATCAGAGCAGTTCAGTTTCTGGTTGCTTTCTCCTCCCCGGGAGCGTTCTAAGACCTAATGCCCTTAAGATAAAGTCTGACGAAGACACATTGCAGTGCTGCTGCCTGTAGGAGTGCACAGCTGGAACAGATGACTCAAAAGGCTTTTCCCAGTCCTGTGTTATTATTAATGTGCTAGTGTGTGCCTGGCACCAAGTGGTTAGACAAGTCCTCCATACTTGTTTGCTATTGAATATACATGCATTCTAAAAATGAACACGAGGACAGCATGTAAGTCTTCAAGCCAAAGCTTTATCTGTCTGTGAACACCCAATGGCATTACAATTCAGCATTTGTCATAAGCCAACCTGAAGAGCAAGACGTATAACAACAAAGATTTACTCTAAATACTAATAATTTTTTATATTTTCCAGATCTTCCCAATTTCTTCTTAACTGTGTCTGCTAACTGCATGTAATAGTTTTGTCTTCAATTTCTTCAAAGCAAATTTCTGTAACAGGACTGAATAATAATAATAAAAAACAAAAAAAACAAAACAAAAAAAACACCCTTTAGTGATCACAAGTAATTAACGTGCTCTTGGCTTGTGGATAGTTATGGATTTATGCAGGAATAAGTTTTTGGCTTTTTTTTCTTCTGAGCACAAATTGCAATACATCAGATGATACAGTATTTGGTGCACTTGCTACTAAGGGTGCACGCTCTGGTGCAAAATGGAAGAAAGCTCGTATCAACCAAGTGTGCAAAGTCTCACTCAAGGCTTCAAAAGGAAGTTGAAGGATTCTGTTAATAGTGAATGTAGGAAGTAGTTCACAAGTGGTTAAAGTTAGAATAGAGTGAGTTCACAATTGTGCCAAAATCCAAATTACTGTATGAGCTGAATAAGCATTCCTGAGGTCAGTCTGTTCTTGTTAGCTGCTTTGGAGAAATCAAGTGTTAACTGTTAGTGTTAGTCACTGCTTAAATAATTTCTTAGCCTTCTTAAAGGGCAGAGGGTGGAGATAAGCCTTCCTATTCTACTTCCTCCCATGTGAACATCTTCCTCTGTTCACGAAAATAAATAAATAAAAAGTCGGTGATATGTCAGGACTTTTTGAGAATAATTCTTCTTGATGGCCGCTGAAGGTTCCTGCTTCAGTGTTGTTCTTGTTTGGCACGCTGTGTCCAAAGGGCTTTATGTGCACTGTAAATCCCATAATCACTCAATTGACCTTGAAGGAAGGCAGTGCTGCCTAAGATCATTGAACCACACTACACACTGTTAAGTAATATATCTTGGCTGTGCCGTGTGGTTGTTTTTGAAACCTGGTTTCAGCATTAGGTAATACTTAGTCTCTGAGCTGAGAAATGCTTCTCCATGGAAGCAACTGAAGTTTCAGGGTTTTACTGAGCAGTTCACAGCATTTTTTCCTTCTTGGAAGAGGAAACAGTTGTTGCTATGTGAATCTATAAAGAAAGCTTAGCTTGGTGTTACAGCTAAGTGCATTGCCTCCACTCTGCATGTTTGTTCAGATCCAGGTTTTGTTTCTAACCCCTGTTTCATAGTT